TGCAGCTTTTGGCTGGGGCTGGGTTTGAACCTGCCACCTCCAGTATATGGGGTCACCACCCTAACTCCTTTGAGCCACAGGCATCACCCCACTAGTTCTTTTTGATCCCATTTTCCTTTGTTACATCCAACCGATAATTACATAAAAATAAAAGTTGAATGAAAACTTTTTTTCCTCTTCAGATGTTCTTACTTTGTCGCCCTTGGTAGAGTGCCATGGGGTCACAGCTCACAGCAACCTCCAACTCCTGGGGCTTAAGCGATTCTCTTGCCTCAGCCTCCCAAATAGCTGGGACTATTTTTTTGTTGTAGTTGTCATTGTTGGAATCTGCCAGTCCTGGTGTATGTGGCTGGCACCCTGGCTGCTGAGCTATGGGCGCCAAGCCTCCAGTGCACTTTTCAACCCAGTTCTGAGGGATGTTGCTCTGCTCTCTGTACTGGTTTGGACATGTTACAAAGACAAATGATTTTAATTAAGGTGACCTGAAAAGTACCAAGGCTATCATTTTCTAAGGCTATACATTTTATGTCTAGTTATGAAATAGATATAAAGGATAAGGCTAGGAGCCACACTGCTTATTATTTTTGCTCCGTTGCTCCGGGCTAAAAGACCAGACTCCCCACACCCACAGAGATTTCACAACAGACGTGTTACTAATAATGGTGGTGGGCAGCTTCCTTAGGGAGACGAACCACCCTAGCCTGCTCAGAGACATCTATCCATGTTGAACAAGCTTACTACTTAAAATAGAAGCTTTTCACATCTGCAAAACACAGTAAGTTGAAAGCTAGTTTTGGCTAGAATTCTATGGTTATTAAAAGGGAAAAAATGAAGAAAAACATAGCAAGATACAGTAATCAAGTTTTATCTTGGGCTCTCTGAACAAAATTTAAGGTTAGTCCTTGGGTTTCAATCACCATTGGAAGGAGAAGGAGAGAGTAAAAAAGAGAGAAAGAAAGGAAGAGGAGGAGAAAGAGACAGAGGAAGAAGGGAGGGAGGCGGGAGGGAGAGAGAAAGAAATATATTACGTCCAAAAAAATCTCTCACAAAAAGGATTTTCTGAATTATTAAGTTTTGGGGTTTGTTAAAGTTTGGACAGCAAGGAATACATGTCCTGGGATAAACTCCAAACAGAAGAAGGGAATAAGAGATCAAGATAATAGGGGACCTAGAAATGTATTTCACTGGCTACAGAATATAATTAGCGTCATCCCCCACAGAAAGATTTTCACTTAAGTTATATGTATATTAAGTCCACATTGTTTATGATAACATAAGTATTATCCAGAATACAATCTCCCTGGATGGGAAATTAATTGTCCTTTACAGACATTTCGATGGTAACATGTAGCCTAAGTGTCAAAGGGAAGACTTTTTACACTTTGGGAAGCCAACTTATTTGCTGGATTGGGGTTTTTGTGATATTCTAAATGTTTCTTTTTTTTTTTTTGAGACAGAGCCTTAAACTGTCACTCTTGATAGAGTGCTGTGGTGTCACAGCTCACAGCAACCTCAAACTCTTGGGCTCAAGTGATTCTCTTGCCTCAGCCCCCCAAGTAGCTGGGCCTATACACACCCACCACAACGCCCGGGTATTTTTTTGTTGCAATTGTCATTATTGTTTTTAGCTGGCCCAGGCTGGGTTGGAACCTGCCACCTTTGGTGTATGTGGCCTGCACCCTACCCACTGAGCTACAGGCACGACCAAAATTCTAAATGTTCCTTAACAAAAAGTCAACTTACTGTAACTGTGATTTCTCTGTCTTGTACCACTATCTCCTAAAAAAAAAAAAAAAAAAAAAAAAAATCCTACATACGGATAAATTTTCTCTACTTAAAAAATAAAAAGTTGAGGGTGGTACCTGTGGCTCAGTGAGTAGGGCGCTGGCTCCGCGTACCGAGGGTGGTGGGTTCAAACCTGGCCCCGGCCAAACTGCAACAAAAAAATAGCTGGGCATTGTGGTGGGCACCTGTAGTCCCAGCTACTCAGGAGGCTGAGGCAAGAGAATCTCCTAACCCCAGGAGTTGGGAGGTTGCTGTGAGCTGTGACGCCACATTACTCTACTGAGGGGGATAACGTGAGACTCTGTCTAAAAAAAACCCAAACAAACAAACAAAATTCCACCCACTTCAAAAAATAAAAAAAATTAAAAGTTGATTTCCCTTGCAATTTGATCTCACCAACTTCCTTTCAGACTTTCATTGGTCTCTAGTGTTACTACCCCCTCTAGAGGCAGAAAATATAAATGACCAACCAACTGTCACACTGACAAGTTTCAAAGTAAACTGAAAATAAAGTTAACTTTTTCTCTGGGAAAGTGTTAATTTAACTAAAAATAGTTAATCAGTGTAACTTTTTTTTTTTTGAGACAAAAGTGTCACTTGGTCACCCTTGGTAGAGTGCTGTGGCACTTTAGCTCACAGCAACCTCAAACTCTTGGGCTTAGGCGATTCTCTTGCCTCAGCTTCCTAGGTTTAACTGATTCTCTTGCCTCAACCTTCCAGGTAGCTGGGACTACAGGCACCTGCCACAACGCCCGGCTACTTTCAGAGACGGGGTCTCACTCTGGCTCAGGTCAGTCTTGAACTCGTGACCTCAGGCAATCCACCTACCGTGGCTTCCCAAAGTGCTGGGATATAGGCGTGAACCACCCCTCCCAGACTGTAACTTTTTTTTTTTAAACCAGTGTAACTTTTATGCTATATGGTAAAGCTCCTCTTGTTTGTTATTCAAGCACCCAAATAAGTCTTACCTGTATTTAATAAAGACCCTGATATAAGCCCAATAAAGATCATATAGCCTCTCACAGGATTAATATAACATATGTATTTATATCTGAGAAAAATACTAATGAAATCAATAGGCTCTACCTTATCTGGAAATCTAGAAAGCAGCTGAGTCATACAAGCCGTAGATTACAGGCTGAATACCATACTCTGAAAAGCAGAAAGACAGCGACTTTTTGTTCTAACTTATGGTACAGTACACTGTTTTGGGAGGCCTAATGTTCAGACACAATGGATTGATTATAAGGAGATTCCATCGCCTTCTAAGAGTTCAGGCTTCTTTTTTTTTTTTTTTTTTTTTTGAGACAGTGCCTCAAGCTGTCCCCCTGGGCAGAGTGCCGTGGCATTACAGCTCACAGCAACCTCCAGCTCCTGGGCTCAAGCGAGTCTCCTGCCTCCGCCTCCCA